TCAGCAGGGGACTGGCAAGATAAGAATGTTCTTGAATACTGTGTTGATTTAGGTCAGGACAGGATATTTTTCCTTTATATGATTGGAATACTGCAAAGGCTTGAAACATCTTTGTACTGATAGCTGAAACTAGTATTAATTTCCATTACTGCAAGTACAAATTTAAGGTGCAAAAGGAAAATTCAGTTAATGCTTGAATGCAGCGCCAAGCTCAGTTATTTTTATGGTGGTGTTATTGCATATTGGTTCTATTTTCTGAGGCAGATTTCAAGCATTTCTGATTTTATACATACTAATAATGATACCTGCTAATTCAAACACTAGAAGTATTAAGAAATTCACCTAGTTATTTGTAACAATTTTCAAAAGCCATAGTTCCATGTTTTGATACTGCTCATTCTTCCTGCTCTTTCTGTGATGTGGCAATACAATTAATTGGATCAGACAACTGACCAGTTAAAATCAACCCAGAAAAAAACCAAATTGGTTTCCACCAGTCAGTTCTCAGGACTGGCTCACTTCATTAGGGCTAGTTTTGGCAAAAGGGTAAGGAGAGGGCAGAACAAAGAGAACAGACCACCCCTTTCCATCACAACAGATTTAGACTGGCTTGATAGTGGAACTATAGAGGAAGAAGCTTATACATGTACATTCTTCTCAGTTCTTTGCTATTTTAAGGCTAGGTCAAACTTCCATTGGAGTCTCTGCCTGCTCTGTCCTTTGAATTTTGGATGAAGCAGTTGTCAGTTCCTAAAATTTATTATCTGAGTCCATGGCTGTAGTTCTGTGTGTGTGAATTTTACATGCCTCCCTTTTAGATAATATGAAGTGCTTCCTAATCCTTCTCTTCATGTGACCCAGCAATATATTTTCTTCCGGTTTCACAAATGGAAATGCAACCCAGGGAGACTAATTGGTTTACTAAAGTTCCCAGAAGTGAAACAGAGAAATTAAATCTAGTTTTATGAGTCTAAAGCTAAGCTAATACCCTCACTTGTGAATCCAGCTTGTATCTATATAGGACCTATTTACTTGTCCTTGATTGTCAGTCTTATTCATTTCACAAACATTTGCCCACTGACACAATTTCAAGGCACATCAGTAGAAATCTCTAGGAGGCACTGACTGAAATTTCTAACATTATAGGGTTGATTTCTAAAAGTTGATCTCAACAGTCCTGCCTTGTTTAATCCTGCCAGAATTGTGCCTGTGGTTTAACTCAAAGCCTACATTTTCAGACTAAATGTAATTTGAATTTTAAGGTTCTTCATTGGCATTTCTTTACTGCTGTTGAGTGTATGGGGCCTTGGAAGACAGGTATATCTCGTTACTCAATGAAATATTAAATGCAGCTTAATCTAATTATATCCCAAGCAATTACAGTCTCCAAAAGTTGTGGTTTAAATTAAAAATCTATAACAAAATCTAAAAAAGGAATAACAAATTAGCACTCCATAATCTGCAACTGGTAATAATTTACACAACTGTCTGAAGTATTGTGCACATATTTATGAAAATACACCTGCTCACACATACATACTTGCGCCATGTTTTCTACACGGAAGAAACCCTCCTTAAGTTCATATATGTTTTCTGTATAATAATAAATTTGTTTTTATTTGAACTTTCAGTCGACGCTGGCGTCGCTGGAATCGATTTAATCGAAGGAAATGTAGAGCTGCCGTAAAATCTGTCACATTTTA